TCTGTATCAAAAGGATCCTCCAAACTAATTAACACAAGTTACACTCTTTTTCCTACTTCACTTCATCATGACATTCCTGATTCTGATCCTCTTTCTTCTGTCTTTTCCACTGCTTTCCCTTTCTGCTCCTCGGAAGCCACCTCCTCTTCCCATTCTCCCCATCCCCTCTGCTTCCCAGCTTCAATGGCAACTCCCCCCCATGGCTATTTTCTTCCACTTCGGACCCAACACCTTCACCAATTCAGAATGGGGCTCTGGCCATGCTGACCCCTCTGTCTTCAACCCCACCCTATTGGATGCCTCGCAGTGGATCCGAGTTGCTAAGGATGCTGGGTTTTCTCGCGTTGAGGCGTTGATCTATCGAGAGAGATGATGAAAAGTCAGCGCATGATCGAGAACCTACTATCACGGAGAGGTTGAGTGGCCGACGATGCAAAGGTGAGAGAGCAGCGAGAGCAACAACAGAGTTAGGGCGGACGGTGAAGGCTCATCGCCGTCGGTGAGAAGAGAGTGCAGACCAAATTCAATTCAAAATTGAAATTCGAGGGTTTTAGGGTGAAATTGAAATACACGATATTTACTCTTGTGAATTACTTTGTTAAAATACATGTATTTCATCCAAATTCAATTACATTTTATTTAGGTAAAAACAAACAGTAAAATTGAATTTGAGCACTTCAAATTCAAATACACACTGTCAAATTCAAGTTCCCAAACAGAGCAAAGAACAAAAGCCGTGTATTTCAATTTCACCGTAGAACCCCTGAATTTGAATTTTGAAATGAATTTGCTCTGCACTCTCCCTTCTCACCGACGGCGATGAGGCCTTCATCGTCCGCCGATCGTTGACTCTGCCGTTGCTCTCACTGCTCTCTCACCTTCCTGTCGTCGGCCACTCAAACCTTGGGTTCTCGATCGCGCATCTACCCGACTTTTCATCATCTCTCTCGATAGATCAACGCCTCAGGTAATTCCTCTTCCTTCCTCAAATTTTTATTGATTCGCATATGACTACCTCCTAGATCAGCTCTATTTAATTCTGTATTTGGGTCAGAATCCCTTGATTTCGTTTCTTACCTAAGAATCTCGTCCGCCCATCATTGATTACTTCCTGCCGGCTCTCTATCTCCAACCTCCTCGCCTCGATCCTTTCTCTCTTGGCGCTCCGATTTGGCGTAAAATTTTCTGTTTCTTATTTCATGATTGCTTTCTGAGTTCTGTTTTTCATTGCTTTTGGGCATTAATTTGGTGATCAAATCTTCGGTTAGGGTTTATGTGTTTAGGAATTTGATATTTCTGCAAGATGCCTGCTATTTTTTTCCCGTTTTATGCCAGTTACCGGTCTTTTGCATGGTCAGTGGAGGGGAAAGTATTGGGTTTTTGTGATTCTGACGAATTAATGTGAATTTCTATATGATGGTAACTTATTTTCTTTGGGGATGAATTCCTAGTTTGCGTTACTTAACGATTCCATACTCTCTGTTGTTTTCTTCAATTTTCCATATGAGTGTCTATTCACCGTGCAATGCAGAACAACTAGGCTGTAGAGAGCAATTTATGATTTTTTCATCTGGCTGCAAAAATTTTTATTGGATGGATTTGAGTCTGTCCTCTGCCATCTCCTGCAATCTGCATGGCAGACTTGTTTCTATATGCTTACTGCAATGTCCTCATTACTCTTTTCCTAGTTGGTTTTGATGTTAGTATCCTGGGACTTGTTCTATTGTTTGTTTGTATTTGTTCTAAGGATCTGATTGGGAGGATATAATTGTTTGTTTGTATTTGTTCTAAGGATATAATTGCTTAGGAGGGAAGCATGTATGTGGGGTTGGCAGTCCACGGGAGTGACTGGGAGGCACCCATTCTCCTAGTCTCTGAATGTGAGTACTCTTCTTAGCCCTTTTATTTAGGCTATTTTATTTAGTGTCTTTTATTAATTATTTCTATCTTGGACCTTCTTTTATTCACTTTTAGTTCCTTCCCTGCATAACCTTAAGGAGAAACAAAAAATCTTGATTCTTGATATTTTGTGCATCAGCTTTCTAGTTGAGAACATGTGGAGTGGGTTGTACATGTTTTTCTTCATGAATGCATGATAAATTTTTTATTGATTGCTTTTACAGTGAACTATTGGAATTATTAACTCAAGCTCTTTCCTTTCTCTTCTCTTTCTAGAGTTTTCCTTATCTGACTTTTTGAGGCATGACTGAGTGTTAGTAATATATTATAAATTGCAGAGGTGATCAAGTTCAAGTAGCTTCCAAAAATTACAAAAATACTTGGAAACTTTTGTTTTACAAGTAAGAAAATTTATCTCATTATAATTATCCTTTTCCTTTTAGTTTTTATTTATTCATGTACTCTCTTTTGTTAGCTTATGATAAAAGATATTTTGCTCTTTTATAATAATGTAAATCGAACTATTATAGGCAAACATGGTTGATGGTGAAAATGGTTTGTCAGTTCAACGTAAACGTCCTCGAGAGAAAATTTAGGAAAATGAGCAAGAAGACATGGAGTTTTTTTTTATTGCTTATGAAGTTCTTTCTTATACTTCTTGTTATTTGTCATCGTCGTAAGCATAGGTATAGAGAACTTCAATTATGTGATCAAGATGAAAGGGATTATCGGAGGAAGATGTGGATGACAGAAATCCATCCTTTAGTTGATCTTCTCGGTTGCTAGCTTTCATTGTTTTAAATACATGAATGGTATGTTAATGGAGGTCATTGTTCCTTTTTTTTCTTATCCAATTTGTTTGTCTTGAGGTAATTTAAATAATATTTTGAAAGATTAAAATTGTTAACTTTGACTTTATTAAATTTAAACAATAATTAGAAGAAAATTTAATTTAATAGAGAAATTCAATTTTAAATGCATAGTATTTTAAAATATCCAAACAATATATTTAAAATATATGTATTTAAAATTTATTTTTTTAATTTAATTCAAATAATATATTTTAAAATACATATATTTTAAATACATGTATTTTAAATACATGTATTTTAAATACATATATTTTAATTATATTCATTAAATTCAAATTCAAGTTTTCAAACACAACCTAAGTGAACACAGGTTTTTTTTTATGGGTTTAATTAATGAGCTCGAGCTTTCTCCCGATGCATCGATTAGATTGTGCGTGTATCATTATTGATTATATGTTGATAAAATTATCTCTAAATATGATAAAGAATAACAAATGGATATTTTAATCCCAACACAATCTTTCCGGAAGTTCTTTCCACAAGCTGACTTTACTTATGGGAGAGGGACCCAATGACCTTCCAAGCCATTGTTGTCCGTAAATGAAAACTGAATCTCCATTTAGA